CTGTGGTGCCCTCTGCTACGTGTCTGCACTTGATGGGATGGCCTCTACCAGGGGCCAGTGCTCTGCCCAACTCATAACTGATTCCCGCGGATATGTTGCACCATCCAGACCAGCTAAACTCCACCCCACTTTATTTATTTATGTTTATTATTATTATTATTATTATTATTATTATTATTATTAGGTACTAGGGACTAAACCTAGGGGCACTTAACCACTGAGCCACATCCCAGCCCTTTTTTATAATTTACTTAGGGACAGGGTCTCCCTTAGTTGCTTACAGCCTTGCTAAGTTGCTGGGGCTGGCTTTGAACTTGCAATCCTCCTGCTTCAACCTCCCAAGCCGCTGGGATTACAGGCCTGTGCCACCAAGCCCAGCTTACACCCTGCTGTCTTGCCACACTGCTCCAGATTTGTCCTAGATCTCCCCCAAAATGTGAAACGTGACCAGGGTTATATCTAAATAAATGCTTTTCTTTAAAACAATCTGAGAAATCTAGATTACTTCCAATTTAGTAGTCATTTTTGAGGATTAAAAAAAATTACATCATAACAGATTGTGGTTCTCTTTTCTGGTGAGTGGCATTCAATTCAATTCACTCTGCACATTGGCAAGAGAGTGCCAACTGGCAGAGAATAAGCTGCCTGTCATGGGATGCAGGAAAAATGAAATGGAGAGAGGAGGTGGAATGACTTCTGTTACTGGTATTAGAGATGCTACGAATCCCATAAAAACAAACTATTCTCACAAAAGCAGGAAAAAAAGTGAAGCTGCAAAATCATATGGCTAAAACTACTTTGGTCCCATTTTTGGAATAAATAAATATAGAAATACATTTTCAGGTGAGTAATGTTATACTTTGTTGAGATACTACATATAGTTCAACTTTAGTCCCCCTACTTTTAGGCAAAGGTGCAAATTATAGGTTAAAAAGTTACCATAGTTCTTTACTGAAAGAAATAATTTCCTGCAGGTCAGACAATCAGAGCAATTCAGGCTTGATCTATAGTCTGTGGCTTCCATACAGAGGGATTACAGAGTGTCCAGGGTGAGGCCATAGTCCTTCTTAAGCAGTACACATAAGGACCAGTACACATAAAACCCATATGTTTTAAAATCCAAATTCTTGATTTTTCATCCCAGAAACTCAGATTGTTGGTTAAATTAGAGCCCCAAGATCAACATTTTAAATAAACACACTAAGTGATTTTGCTGCACTTTTTTTTTTTTAATTGGCTTGGAGAGATCCGTTAAGGCACAGGAAGATGCTACTGTTCCTTTTGCATCACTGAAGAATGAAATCGCTTGCATTCAAATGCATGTCCATGTTTGGAAAGCTAGTAGCAAGTCAGTCACACATAACAGCTCTCAGCAGTTGGCATACTGGATAATATCAAACAATTCAACACCTGAACGCCCTGGGCACCAGGTTACCCTGAGTGTAAGAAACAGGGTTCTAGAATCAACAAGTAGCAGGGGGGGCTTGCTGCTTGCCTGACATCCGCCCGCCAGCTGACCAGAGCAGATGTCAGAACACCTGAGTTCCAGTGTGACCTCCCACAGCTGAGCCACTCAGCTCACTTGCAGTTCAGTTGCGTGCCCTCTCCACAGACTGCAGCCACCCTCAAAGGAGCTCCCTAAGAAATGGTCTTCAGAGCATTGAGCTCTCCTGATCTTAAACTTTTCTCTAAGACCTTAATTAGCAAACTTGATTCCCTCTAAAGCAAACTGACCTGTTCAGAGATCATCAGCTCCTGCCTTTCAGCCCAATTCCATCACATCTTCTCCAAACACACTTCTACCAGTGTCCTGCAGAACCTTCTCCCTCAGCTATTTAAACATTGGCTGCCATCAGAATCACTGTAGAAGTTTTACAATGCCAAAGCCTGACTCCTAGCATATGCAGAATGAATCAAAGGCCTAAATGTAAGAGCAAAATTTTTAAATGTTAGAAGAAAACAGAGATAAATCAAAAGAAAAACATATATACATTGAACTTCATTGAAATTCTTCTGTGCATCAGAAGATACAATCAAGAAAATGAAAAGATAATCTACAGAACAAGAGAAAATATTTGCAAATCACATATCTGATAAAGGTCTGGTACCCTGAATATATAAAGAACTCTTACAACAGGGAAGGAGGAAAAAAAAAAAAGACAAGTCACCCAATTAAAAAATGGGCAAAGGACTTGAATAGACATTTCCCCAAAGAAGAAACACAAATGACCAACAAGCAGATGGAAAGACACACAACAATGTTGGTCATTAAGGAAGTGCAAATTAAGATCACAATGAGATACAAATCCGACCCACTAGGATGCCATAATGATAAAAGGGAAATAACAAAGTTTGGCAAGGATGTGGAGAAATTGGGACATTGCTCATGGGACTGTAAAATGACGCAGCCTCTGTAGGAAACAGCTTGGCAGAGCCTCAAAAAGTTAGGGCTGAGGATGTAGCTCAGCGGTGGAGCACTTGCGTAGCATACATAGGCCCTGGGTCCCCAGCCCTGGGAAAAAAAAACTAAACAGAGAGCTACCATATGGCCCGATAAGTCCACTCAATAAGTACGTCCCCAAAATAATTGAACAGGTATCAAAAAAAAAGACTTGCACAAGATTGTACAAAGCGACATTCTATGTAGTAGCCAAAAAGAGGAAACAATCCAAATGTCCATCGGCTGATGAATGGATAAACAAAATGTAATCTATCCAGACAATGGAGTGTTCTTCAGCTGTAGGAAAGAATCAAGAACCGACGCACGCTACAACATGCATAAAACTTGAAGATGTTATCTTACGTGAAAGACAGTGACACGAAAATACTGAATGACCCCACTTATATGTAATACCCAGAATAGGAAAATCCACAGAGACAGAAAATAGAATTGTTGCCAGGAGATGCGGGGAGGAAAGGATGGAGACTGGCTGTGTAACCGGTAGGGACACCCACGCCTTCACCAGGGAATAGCCAGAGGTGAGAATTGCACAATGCTTTAAACGGCTTATTGTCTGGAATGTGGATTTACCTCAGTTTTTTTTAAAGTCCCAATTTCATACCCCAAACCTATTAAATCTCAATTTCTGGAGACTAGACCCATCTATGAGTTTGTTTTGGTTTGGTTGGTTTAGTACCAGAGATCGAACCTAGGCCACTTAACCACTGAGCCACATCCCCAGCCCTTTTTTGTATTTTATTTAGAAACAGGGTCTTGCTGGGTTGCTTAGGGCCTTGCTAAGTTGCTGAAGCTGGTTTTAAATTTGTGATCCTCTTGCCTCAGCCTCCCCAGCCACTGGGATTACAGGCATGCACCACCATGCCCAGCTTCAGTATATTTTAAAGCTGTCCAGAGATTTCAAAGTGCAGGCCAGATTAAGAGCCACTGACTTAGTCCCTGGCTATCTCTGCCCTTCCCAGAGTTCCAAGGAGTTTGGAATTGATAGCATTTGTCTAGCATATAGAAATGTCCAAGCAGTGTCCTTTATCGAGTGTACTGTGGGCCTTCAGTCTCAGCTCCTGTGGTTCTCCAGGGCTTGCCAATCCCCCGTAAATGGTTGCTGTCCAAGGAGGACATATACCCAGTCAGCTGTTCTATCCCACTCCACCAGTGTGCTCACAGGTAGAGGGGTGAGGTCCTGAGGCCTCTTTCTGCATTCTGCTCTGCAGGAATTCTTACAATGAGAATTGCAACGGTGTTGCTGTTGATTCTTGCACTGTCCGGCCATTTGCCATTTATGGCCATTTGCCATTATCGCGTAGAGTCTCAGCCTGAACTTTCAGGAACTCTGGCCTAATGAGTCCTCATGAGAGGCAAAGATCTAGCTGATAGGACACGGATCTGTCACTCAACCTGTCCAATAAGAGGAGCCCTTTGAAAAGAGCGGGTAATGCAGAGAAGCAAGGACAGCCAGGAAGCTGCCCTGGGGGTATTTACTGGGACCTCAGGGGGACATCCAGTGCCCATGGGGTCCCCAGTCCAGGTCCTGGGGTCTTGTGCTCAGCAGCCAGACCAGCATCGGAATCTATCCAGGTCAGTGCACAGTTTGGGGCTGGTTTCTGGCTCTTATTTCTTTAATATGTTCATTTTTTTAAAGTATTTATTTATTCATTTGTGTATTTGCAGTACTAGGGATTAAACCCAGGGGCACTCCACCACAGAGTTACATCCCCAGCCTTTTTTTAATTTTTAGAGACAGGGTCTCACTAAATTCCTGAGACTGGCCTCAAACTTGCAATATTCCTTCCTCAGGTTCTGTGAGCAGAGACCTCACTGGGGTTACAGGTATGTGCCAGCACGCCTGGCTAATATGCTCATTCAATTCTTAAATTAAATTTTTTTTTTGCTTTGAAATTTAGAAACAAATTTTATTTAAGATCTGAAATACAATTCCTAAAATATCAACTTCTCCAGAAAACTGTGGCTACACAATAATGCATTGCCTCTGTCATGTTAGAACGTGCATTAGACTCAAATACAAAAATCATGAAACAAACCACCATCCTTCAACAATTTGAGCAAAGATAGAATGCCTAAGGAACAACATAGATGGATCTGCAGAGGATGGGCGGTTTTACTTCAAGCACCATAAAAAAAAAAGAGCACAAATGCATGGGTTTTCAGGTATATACATTAAGTTGAACCTTTGGCACTAGGAATCAGGGCGTTTCGTCACATAGCATTTAACACATATTAGAAAATTGTGTAGTGTCAAAGGGATAGAACCACCAGCATTCAAGCAATGTTGTCAACTAGGCAATAAAATGTTCTACTGAATGTTTTCTTCTTTATCTAATTACTGCATACACTGGTAGCAACTTTGAAATGAGGAAAGGAGCTTGTACTCCTTTTATTTTGTTTAAACAGAACAGAAAACAAACTAAAACATAAGCCCTGTTATACATTAACAATTTTAAAGAACATCAATTTTACAAGGAAAGGACTAAGAACAGAAAGTGTTCACAGATACCAGACATAATAGTGAGTGGTCAGTAGACCCTCACAGGGCTTTGCGGTAGTACGCAGCAGAAGCCACTTTGTAATCACTGGCAGTAAACAGAGATGCAGAATTCTTTGCCAGGTAAGCATGCAGATAGCCCAACAATAATGCAAGGCTCTTCTCATCAAGGGGCGTATAGGCCAACATTGCTCCAATTCTTACAAATAATCTCAGTAGGTGTGGCGCTCCATAAACCTGGGACATTGGTGCATCAGGGTGGGCCAAAAGGATCTCAGCATACTGGGGCCTCTCAAATTTGTACAGCAGCTGAGTGCCCAACATCACATTGAAATACTCTTTTATTCCTGCCACAACTTCATTAACCGCATATTCCTTGTTATCAACATTCCCCTGTGATTTCTTACAATTGGCATACTCTTCCAGAATAGCATCTACATTCTTCTTAGCTGGGAGCTGAAACACCTGCTTCTACCTGGTTACCAAGTTCCAGTCTTCGACGAGCCATGGTTTTAATTCTTCAGGAATCTTCACTTTAACTTCCATTCTATTCTTAAATGCCTCTTCACTTTCCACAGTGGGGTCAGCCCGGGCCCTTTTCTTCCGTGGGGGCTGGGGTGCTTCACTGGTACTGCCACCATCTCCATTTCCAGGGGTCTTCTGTTTGTTCTTTCTTGTCTTCCTCACAGATCCGGAAGGGGGGTTTTCTGCAGAGCGACCCCCCCATCTTCCTGGGAGAGCTGGCTCAAGATTCTTTGGCTGTGGAGCAGCTGTCTTCTTTCCTGAGGAGGCCCCTCTCATCTTACCTGTCTGCATGTTGCTTCGAGTTGGTTTTTTTAAAGTTGTCTTCCTCGGCAGATTGTTGTCCACGAGTTTGAGAACCCTGCTTTCTGGAACTCATTCAACCCTGTTTTTATTCCAACCAACAATCTTCCTTCTTTCCCTTCCAAGAACTCCTAGTGATTTCCCAGATGGAATCTTACAGATCTTCTGGGATGATCTGGAAGGATGAAGTGAGAGACACAGCCCAAGGCTCTGTAATCAGGGATGGTTCTGCAAACAGGATCAGATCTCCTGATCCTTACTGTAAGGCAAACTTAGCTTTTCTGATGGTGATCTGAAACGAGAATCCAGTTCTTTCCAGCAGCCGACGTGTGATCACTGCCGTCCCTCCAACCGCCATAGTTTAAATTAAATTTAAATTATCATTTTCCTTTGCATGCAGACATTTCTCTGCAAGAGAAATAGCTCTCTATTGACTTTTCTCCAACACTGTAGACCTAACTTTGCCTACACTATTTGGGCCTGGCCTTGTTAGCACAGGGCACAGAAAATGCCCTCATGCCCTCTTTTAACTTAGCCCCTGCCAGTTCCATGCCTCAGTAGGCCTGGCCTCCCTTCTCTCCACAGACCATACACCATTACCACTGAAGGCTCCATCCCTTGCTGGGGGCGGTTTGGGGGATAGCTGGGGAACAGGAATGCTAGCCTGAACACCAGAACTTTGGGACCTTTTGTAGAAACAGTGTTTCTGGTCATAGGTCCCCATCAACCCATCCCTCTGCTCTGCCACCATTCATTCGTTTGACACTGTAGGCCCACTCTGTGCCAGACAGTGTTCTAGGCCTTTGGCCAAGACAGTGACTGAGACCAGGTCTCTGCTCACATGCTGCTCACATTTCAGGGGATGAGAGCCCTGAAGACAGGATAAGGGACAGACACTGCAAGAACACAAGAAGGAGGGGGCCAGCGTGGCATGCTGCTTACACACAGTGGCAGGGTGAGGGCATCTGAGCTGAGGACTGAGTCATATGGAAGCTGGGCACACAGACATCTGGGAGAGAGAACAGCATCTCAGACTGCAGCAAACTAGAGAGGGCCATTACTCATTACCTGTCTTCCCATTGACACAGGTCTGTGCCCCTCCCCGGAATCCAGCGAGTTCCATAACTGCCTTGACCAACAGGACATGGCAGGTTGATGCTGGGCCAATTTCAGGCCAGCAGAGACCAGCAGCTCCCACTTCCCATCTCTTGGGACCCTCACTCTGGGATCCCTGAGCTGCCAGATGAAAATGTGACTTCCCTGCTGGAGAGACCACACAGAAAGACCCTGAGAGACTGTCTGGAAAGAGCAAGCGGCTCAGCGGGAACCAACCTTCCAGAACCTTCCAGAGCCTGACAGACATCCCTGCTGAGCAAAGGCATGTGAGTGAAGCCATCTCAGACCTTTCAGATCAGCCACCAACTGAACACCAGCGTGTAACCGGAGCAATGCCATGTGGAATAGAAGAATGGCCCAGTTGAGCCCTGCCCATATGCCTGACCCACAAAATTATTGTGATAAATACTGAAATGGCGGATAAGTTGCTTAATCGTGGGGTCACGTTACGCAGCAACTGATAACCTGGACACAGTCCAAGAGAATGGCTGGTGAAAAAGGCCTGAGCCCTGGAGTATCCAAGGGACCAAAGTCAGGCCAGGGTGGTTGGGGCTTTAAAAAGATGGAGAAGAGGAGATGTTGGGAGGGCTGAGCGGGACAGAGGCAGTGCTGCCTGGTGGTCCCCACATTGGGTGGCCCTGGAGGACTCGGTAGATGAGTACTGTGGTCACAGTTTTGAAAGTCCCAGCTGCTGTGGGGCAAGGGTGGACAGAAAGCAGCCCATTCAGGAGGCTGATGCAACTGGGGATTTCTCCTGGCCGGGGATTTGGCCCAGCGTGTACAGATTCACCTTGCAGCAAGGTCATCGGCTCCCTGCCTTCTGCACCAGATCAGGCAACTAGTCCTCTGCCTTGTTTCTGTAACTCAGCCTTCAATCTGCCTCCGATTCTCCCCCACGGTGGCTCTGTCCTGTTCCCCAGGACCCCATGATAGTGGGTGCAGAAAGGCAAGGACATCATCCTTCTGCATACACACCCCACTGGGAACAAGATCAGGGGAAGTTCCACTGGTGAGACCTCGGGGTGGGGAGGATTTATTTGGGAGCAATAAGCATGTCACATATTCTTGGAGCAGCTCCCAGCCCCCAGCATCATCTCTAGTGCCAGCTGCCCATAGACAGAATGAGTCCTGATCTACATCATTTTTTCCTCATCATGAAGTTGAGTTGCCCCCCATGGAAGAGGCTCAGGGTCATAAGTGCTGCTGTGGCTGGGGGGTGATTCTTCCTTATTCTGGGACTCAGTATTAGGCATATCTTTTTTTTTTTTTTTTTGGTCTAGGATTGAACCCAGGGCTTCATACATGCACGGCAAGCAGTCTACCACTGAGTCACATCCCCAGCCTGGGGTTCAATATTAGGAAGCCCCCCCCACACCTATAGAATTCTTCATTCTTCAGCCATATCATCAGCATCATCAATGAGAAAGGTGATATTTTGGCCTCTGTGGCCTGATTCCTGTCTCCAAGTTCAGACTTGGGTAGGGAAAGGGTCCCTACTTATTGGGATCCTGAGTCCCTAACACCTTAGGTCTTGCATCAATCATGGGTCGAGGCGTTCCAAGAATTGCCTCCCTTCTTTTGGTGACTGCCTAGTTACTAGCTGGATTTTCACACTTCCTGTCCCTAGACTTTCCATTGTCATGTGACGCCCACCTCTCCCAGTGCCTGCCCCTTACCTCTGGCTGGATTTCCCAACACAACTGCCTGTTTCACCATGACTAACTCTGAAACTGGGCAACAGACTTCATGAACATCAGCTGGGCCTCCCCTTGGGTCCTCCCCACGTGCACTCCAGCAGGTAGGTCGTGTGTACATGGCTGGGTCCCTCCCGCTAGCCAAGCCCACAGCCTCCTGTGCTGTGAGCCTCATATTTGCAGCTCAGGAAAGAGGGGACAACACTGTGCTATGGGTTCTATCAGGTCTGCTGTGTGTCCTTTGGCTAGTTTCTCAATCTTTCTGTGCCTCAGTTGCTCGGGTATACAATGGAGATAGTGACCATAGCATTACCTCATATTTCTGTGATAACTGAAGTAAGACCTTCAACACTCAGCACCATGCTGGTGTGTAATAGGAACTTGATAGATAGCAGCTGATATTGGGCAAGCCCTCGCCTGCACTTCCAGAGTTGATTTAGAAAATGAGAGAAGAGAGATGGCAGGAGATAAAGGAGATCTAGAGTCACTCAGGAGCACAAAGTCACCCTGGGACTAGAGAATAGCTCACAGAGAGCAGGGACATGACTTTTCATTTTTTGCAACTCTGACATGTAGCTTGGTGCCCCACACATTGCAAGTGGCATAAATGGTTGTTAACTAATCCAATGAGCATAATAGCAAAGTATTTGGGGATGACTAGGAGAGGAACCTCCTCTTTCATGGAACACCATGAGAGGAGACTCCCCTTCCCACCCTTCTCTTTTCCCTTTCTCGGCCAGCGAGGGCAGACCCAGGATGTTGATTCTGACCTTCACATCACTGTGGCCCTGCCTTTCCAAAAGCCAGTTCCCCAGGATGTCAGCCGGTGCTGGGAACCCCCACGGGTGCTGCAGGCAATGCCATTTTCCTGGAGGGCTGGGCAGGCACTGTAATGAAGAACTGGAAAGACATGCCAGGGCTTCTCCTTTGGGGAGCAGGTGCCATTTCCAAGGAGCAGTGTGGCAGTGAGAGATAAGGGCAGAAATTTGAATTGCCATTGTTTTATACTCTACAAACAGGAGGGGCTTTCTGCAGAGTCCTTTGTAAGACCCAGTGGCAACGATTATCATGAACCCGGAGTGGGAGAATAATTCAGCTCTTCCTCTCTTGCTGCCTGCTGTTGTACTTGAACCTTCCTCCCTCCAGCAGCGCCCACCACTTGGTACCAGCAGAAGCGAAAAAGCATGAGCAGGGAACACCGAGGCCAGCGCCTCTGGCTTTCAGCTCTCGGCTTTTCTGCTGGCCTGGGCTCTGCACGAGTCATTCCCCTGCCTGTGTCTCCACTTCTTCCTCTTGGACCCCAGAATTCACAATGCACCTGACACCCCCTTTGTCCCAGTGATACTGTGCACAGCCTCAGGTGAGCGCAGGTAGTGAGCCTCTGCTCTGGTCTGCAGCAAGGATGCAGTGACGCCATCTGTAGCGCATGCCCTGTGTCCTCATCTGGATTATTACCACCTGCGTGCTGTCACCACCTGCTGTCACCTTCTGCCTCTGTGCTGGGGGAGGCCCGATAGAGTGTCCTGCACACTTATGAAGATAAGATCTCGTAACTGAGAACCTTGCACACCAACATGGGACCAGCTTCACAATCCCCAGCCACTGGCTAATGCCCACCACAGCTCTGGATCTGAGCTCCTTTACCTGTTGCTCCTTTACCTCCTCAGCCATCCCCCTGCCCCTCACTCCCACCTCCTGAAGTTACACCTGTCCTCATCACTCGGCAGGAGGAGAGCTCCTGGCCATGGTCAGTTGGTGGGGGTCTTTCCCTTCCAATACTGCCTGTGGGGGAAGGGGCTGCAGTCTCCCACTGCAGGTCACATTTGGGAATTGGGTGCTGCGTCAGGGTGGCCAGGCACAGAATCTGGGGTTATGCTTTCCCTGGAGTTATCCATAGAATCCCAGGAAGCTGTGGCCACAATCGGAGGGTCTGTTCTTCTCCCACTGGTCAAGGCAGAAACCAATCCCCTGGTGGAAACTCTGCAGCTGATTGAGACCCAGCTCCGAGGTAGAACCTTCTCTTCCTGAGGCCTCACAGGTGACCTGACGGGCCTCCCTTGGGCTGCACCAGCTAGGGTGACCCTAAAAATCACCCACCATTGCAAAACTGCTTCTCCTACAGGTAACTAAGCTCCTTCAATATATGTTTTTAATGTGTCTTGCTTCCTTATAAACTTCAAAACAATACAAAAAGGTAGAAGGAAGGAAAAAAGTCCAAGAACCTCACCTCCCAGACACGATGTCCTATTGGACTCTGGCCTTCGGCCCTTTGCTGAGTAGGTTTTATGTGCCATTAAGATCATGCAGCTTCTATGGTCTGCATGTGTCTCCAGAAACCACTTGTGTGTGTGTGTGTGCGCGTGTGTGCAATTCCCAATGCAACAGGGTCAAGAGGTGGGATCTTTGACAGCGGATTAGGCCAGGGCTCTGTCCTCATGGACAGATTCATGCCCTTGACAAAAGGGCTTGAGACTGCAAGTTCAACCTCTCATGCTCTCTGCAGGGCTCTCCTGCCCTTTTACCTTCTGCTGTGGGGCGAG